GGTAAAATGTCATCACAATCAGCGTCAAAAAGAAGCGCCTGTACCACCAAATCAATAATGGAAGCCATCTTGTCACACAAGCGACCTCTATTGTTTTCGTATTCGTTGTTCGGCGTTTGCGAAACGGCCGCTACGACTAATGACGTACGAACCTAGTTTTCGTACTTCGTCTTCGTTGTTCGTCGTTTGCTAAACCTCCCTATTATCTTTTTTCTGTGGAATATCTGATATGCTGAGAAAGTGAAGTGTCTTTGTAAATTATGAATACTCCTTTTTTTCTTTAATAAATATATATCCAAATTGAATAATTTTAACATTTGTGCTTATTTTTTTCAAAAATTTCATTTTATATTTTTAGCGGCCATCCAGAATGCTGGTCCACCCACTCTTATAACATTGGCAACTGGCGCACCCAACAGTACACTGTTTCCATTTCATGAAGCAACCATTACACTGAAGTGATTAAAGTTTTATCAATTTCATTTAAGCCAAAAGTAAATAATAATAATAATAATAATAATAATGTATTATTATAGTGCTGTTCTCATGCTGTATGTAGGCTGATATGCAAATATTACCTTTATCATAAAATATTAACTGCATGTTCCTTTCTGTGATTCTCTTTCAGCTTTTTGTTTTTTGACATTTCTCCTTTACTGTTATTGTTTTTCCTGTCTTTGATGAGTTATCTGTCAATAGTCATCACCCTCATACCAGTATTTTATGATCATCCTTGGTGCATGCCCACTGTGTACAAAAATATTTTAAAATACAAATATCATATATTTTATAGATCTATGTGTTTAAATTATAGATTATGCNATGATAATAATAATAATAATAATAATAATAATAATAATAATAATAATGTATAGTGCTGTTCTCATGCTGTATGTAGGCTGATATGCAAATATTACCTTTATCATAAAATATTAACTGCATGTTCCTTTCTGTGATTCTCTTTCAGCTTTTTGTTTTTTGACATTTCTCCTTTACTGTTATTGTTTTTCCTGTCTTTGATGAGTTATCTGTCAATAGTCATCACCCTCATACCAGTATTTTATGATCATCCTTGGTGCATGCCCACTGTGTACAAAAATATTTTAAAATACAAATATCATATATTTTATAGATCTATGTGTTTAAATTATAGATTATGCTAAGAATTGATGATGATTTTTCTTATTTTTTATGCAGAGATGGCTCTTCCTTCAAGCTGAGTGACTCCCTGATGACAGCAGCCTTGCAGTATGGACCCACACCAGGGTAAATTATAAATGACTGAATAGTTTTGAGGGTTTTTTTTTTTTTTTTTTTTTTTTTTGCAACAGCTTGAATTAATTTAATAAGTTTTTCATTTGTCTGGTTATGTTGAGTTTTATTAAATAGTATTTTCCATTGTTTTAAAACAGTTGATTAATAAAGATAAGTAGATATGTATAATAATTTCTTTGTAGTTGGAAGTATTTATTTTAGAAAAATAAACTGAATCAGATACATATTTAAGACTGTTTTTTGGTAATTATAGTGTCACCATATAAGTTAGTATGTTATATGTATACGTCTATGGGCGCACCATTGATTCTTATATATATCTGCAATCCAAACAACTTTGGCATGTCATTCAAATTGAGCATTTTCCCTTATCAATGCACAGTCACTATGTGACCAGTTTCTAAATTCCACATAATTTCTTGTCTATGCCCTCTCCAGGTTTACTCCATTAGTGAAGTGGCTGAAGGGGCTCCAGCAGAGATTGCACAACCCTCCCACCTTGACCAGACCGGGACCAGAGGGCGGACTGGACCTGGTGGTCACTACAGGGAGTATGGACGGTCTGGCCAAGGTGACCTCTGCCTACAGGATGGACTCAGGCCTTATATATGGATTTATAGCGTTTACTAACACTTCCCGCAGATCTTTTAGCACTAACACCCATATTAACCACGTAACCCGCAAATTAACCAGCACACTGCCAAAGTATTTACCACTAACATAGCAGATTAATGTTAGTGCTAGGAATCACTCTGGTAGTGGTAAATACTTTCATGGTGTGTTCGTTAATTTGTGGGTTATGTGGGCATCAGTGCTTAAAAATCTGTGGGTAGTGTTAGTAAACGCTTAATCCATTTATAAGGCCTGGGACTGACCCATGTTTCATCCAGTTTTAGAAATGCAGTAGATTTCATTAGAGTGATATCTGATATCTACGTGTTTCTTTTAACATTTTATATGAGTTACGTTTCAGTGGCTTTTACTTCAACATTGTGCTGTATATTAATGGAATAATTTAGAACTGCAAAAAATTTTGCAGGAGACAAAGTAAATGAAAAGAAATAGTTTTATGTTAATAGTTTCTTTATTATTTCTGCAGGCTTTTGATATGTTGATAAAACCAGGTGACAATATTCTTATTGATACACCAACATATGCAGGGACTTTATCAGCAGTAAGTAGCAAACCATTTTTTCTTTTTTTATCTGTCCCAACTTAATTTTCATATTTTGAGTTTATTAAAGTGTTTTTCTCACACTGCCAGCTTGTAAAAGCCAAGAGACATTTAATTTGAGAATACCAATTTAAAGAGTATTATTTTTGTTAAAAATTAAATTATATATTTAACTTTTATTAATTAATTTTTTCATTTATTAGTGTATTTAATTATAGATCAATTTATATTTGAGTCAAAATTTCAAAACTTTTAAATATTAGAGGTAAACTATTTCAATATTTAGCTGTTGATTGAAGAAAAATAATTTCTTGTTTAAAACTTTAATTTGTTTCCATATTCTCCAGCTACATCCACTGGGCTGCAACTTCCTAGATGTCCAGACAGACCACTGTGGCATGGTTCCTGATGCCCTGAGAAACAAACTGTCAAAGTGGACCCCTGGAGATTCCAAAAAAGCTGACTCTGACATCCCCAAGGTGCTTTACACCATACCAAATGGCTGTAACCCCACAGGGGCCTCACTGACTGAGAGTAGAAAGAGAGAGATATATAAGGTATGGCAGAAGAAATAGATGAAAGTTGAATGCTGGGAGATGGGGGGGGGGGGCAGGGAGAAAGAGAAAGATGTCACCCT